AAGAACAGAAAACAAAAGAAATAGGCTCACCCCCCCATGGATCCAGCAACATCTTGTCGAGCAGTGAGCGGAAATTCTTCTGCTGTGGTCCTTCTGGTCATTGTCCCTGCTGTGGTCGAGGGTGGGGGGATGCGCGCACATGGCAGCAGGATGTCGGTTTTGTCTATATTTACCGGGTCCGTTGGAGCCCTCCCCCAGGTGAAGCTCATCCGCAGGGGATCTGGTGAGCCCCAGGCCCTGTTCAAGCTGTGCCCTGGTAGGCACCGCAGGGTCTGTCGCTGTCTCCAGGCAGTTTGTTGCCAGGCAGTTCATCGCCAGGCAGCTCATCTTCACGGCCTCAGGGCAAACAGCACAGGGGGGCATCCCCCACCTTCCTGGAGCAGGATCCCTGCTCTGTGCCCGCAGTCTGCCCAAGCGATAGAGAGATGTCAGATCCTTCTGTCTTGTAAGTTGTTTTGAGACAAACACAACAAGGGGCTCTTGACCATCACAAGAGGGACAGACAGACTGTGCTTGAGTGTTTTGAGGGGAGGACAATCATGACAATTCCCCCCCTCCCCCTTTTTTTGTTCTATTTGGGCAGTGGGAATTAAACAGTGGTCTTCCTCCTCTACCTAAACTGGGAACTAACTGCATCTGCAGTCAAACATATTTAAGCTTCCAGAGTTAGTAACTCAAAACCTTGACTGTGGATGAAAATAGGCAATTCATTTCTTTTCCAGCAAAACTATCTCTTCAGAAGGACTTCAAATTTACTATTTTAAGAATCTCTTAAAAATAAAATCCTCATTGCATTGATGTCTAACTTAAAGTTAAAATTATAAATTGGGTTAAATATTAAGGGATAATTAAAGAAACAGGGAATGTTCACACATTTAACATGGAGCTTTAGAGAAGTGAGAAATAGCCTCTCCACCCTTTAAAATACAAGGCGTGACGTCCATCTGAGCCAAAGATGCAGTTCTGTGAAGAGAACTGAAGGCAGCAGTCACTGAATCAAAGTCACCTTAAAGTATAAGAAGCACACAGAGGTCAATGACTGCAGTGAAAGCTTCCAGCTCTGGCATTTTGGCAAAAATTGCAAGAATTCATACCTAATCTAGCAGACGAAACTAGAAGGACATTTAAGAAGCATCTCAGTCAGATAACTCAGATACTCAAATAGGGCTGTTTTCTTTCCACTTCATAAAACTGCCTCCAGTTCAGATCAATGGACCTTCAAATGAAGGTCAACATGTTTTCTGCACTTTTTCACGTTTCTCAGAAACACTTGATCTATTTTCAACATAGTGTTTGCAAAGAAGTTGGAAGAAGTTCCATTCTGAAAGGTTAAATATTCAGAAAGTTCTGGGGACTGAATACAAGTAATAGGTAGTGTGTTCCAGTGCCTAACACCAACAGCACAAGGATAATAAAAAGACATTATTTGCTAAGTTGCAGTCAGCAAGGTCATGTTTTTTTATGGCAGCTTGGAGGAAGTCCAGAGGAGGGCCATAAGGACAATAAGTGGACTGGAGCACATAGAATCATCAGAGGATTTGTAGATCTTGCCTGCTTAAATATAATTCTGTATGGGATATTTAAATGAGAAAAAAATACCTTAGCATATACTTAACAATCTTCAGTAGTATTATCAGAACAGATATATTAACATTGTGCTTCATCTTAAAAATATGTTCACCCTCAGGATAAAACAATACCTTACCCTATCTCATCATCTTGTGCCTGTACTAATGATTTTCAACAGAATTTGTGAAATCTGAGTTAAACAAAAAAAAACAAAAAACAACCCAGTGGTCTCCCAGGCAATACAGCCATCAGAGCCAGTAGTGTTTCAGCAGAAAAGGCACTTTTTAAAAATAAAAGTATTTTTTGCAATTATCTTCATTGCAATCACTTATTAACTGCATAATGGTACAAAGTAGGTGTGAGCTTTAGCAACTTTAATTTCCTTCAGTCTTTTAAGATTATTAATAAACTATTTTTTAAAAAAAGTTATGCAGCCTATTTGTGTGGCAAGTCCATGAGAAGATGATACTCTGACAAAGTGGGGGTTCTGCTTCCATCCACAGGATTACACCTAAAGCACCTCTAAGAAAAGAAACAACAGAGTCTATTTGAGAAGTATTCTTAAAATTATACACTCATATTTAATTTTGTTTTGACAAAAGAGATCATTAACCAATTTTCAACTCCATGTATTAAGACTTTTTGAAAGAGGACTACCTTATGCTTTTGTGAGAAACTTAAGCAAGCTCGCTAGGATCTTTTCAGAAGAACCGATTTATGATGTTCTAACAGAAAATTCCAGCTATTAGTCAGCATAATTAGCCAGGAAAGATCTAGATCAAAGTGCTAAACCCCCTGGAACGTTCTCTATTCAGAAAGGTTAATATTCACTTCTTGAAGAATATGACATTTAATAGAAAACAAATTCTAAGAGACTCTGATCTTGTTAGATTTCTGTTTCACTTTTAAGTAGAAAAATATTTGAGCAATCAAAATGTACAATTGCCCAGTAAGACTATATAGAACAAAGATTTTAAATAGGTTTGTTTTGGTGTGTTTTTTGGTTTTTTTTTTTTTTTTTTTTTTTTGTTAGGGACAAGTACAGCCATCTGTATTCCAATTAGGAATGCTGGGATGGTGTATGGATAGGGTTAATACTAATACAGATGACAATACTTAGGAGACTATCTAAAAAGGATCAGATCTTTTCCCATGAAACAGACTGACATAAGTAAAGGTACTTGCTGGCCTTCCTAACCTAGAAGCCATCTTTGCAAACATTCCTTGGTTACTTACTTGTCCAGCAAAAGTGAGTGGCACTTACATGCTGTAGAACTGGAAACAACATTCCCCACACCTAGAGGTCTCTACTCTAAAATGGTTTTGGCAAAAAAAAAAAAATCCAGCATCCCAACATTGCCAACATTCAGATATGGGAAATACACTTGGAAGTTGAGAGATTTCAAAAAAGAAATTTCTGCCCAAACATTGCAATAGTGAGTCAGTAAATACAGACTTAAACACAAAACTGAATTAAGAGGCTTTGAAGTTTACAAAGATAGGAAGAAATCACGACTAATTCAGACAATTAGCAAGACTAAACTAGGAAGCAGAATTACCTTTAATAAGGTTATGTCTCTGTTGTAAAAATGCTAATTTTATTCAGAAAAAAAAAGGGTTTCCTTTAAACTTCACACCTGATATTTTCAAGGTGATACAGTGGAGGGATTGGAGGAAAGAGACAATAAAATGGTTGCTGTTCCCAAAACCTGACTGTTTAGTAGCAGCCTCAGCTTTTTACATGAAAAAAAAAAAAGAGACTGTGACGATCATCCTGAATTACCTTTGGCTGATATTTTCCAAATATGTTAACTGATCAGGAAAACTGCCCCTTTTCAAACAAGCTAAATTTTTTCACAAAAGCAACATGGATTTAAACATAGTTGGCTGAAAATAATGTATTTCTGAATGTGCTTTCCTATGTTTCATTAGGACCAGTTGAACAACTTGGAGAAAACAGGCTTTGGGTAGGTCATACACAATCAAAACACATTTATAAACTAGTAGTAACTGAAAAATCTCAAGTCTTGCTATGCGTGCAGCAGTACTCACTCTGTACACCAGTGTGGTGACCGAACAGATTTTTCTTCTCATTGAACTTTTGTGTTCCAACATTAAAAAATCCACTTTACCACAGTGAACACTTCCACTATCTTCATTAATATGATTTTACTCCTGAAACATCTTATATCATCCTATCATTTACATAAAAAGGTCAGTTTCTAAAGCACATAATGTTACCCGTGGCTCTTAGGGCTCAGTAAACATGATAAAGCTTACATTCTTGTGAATAATATTAATATATACTGAAAAAAAGTCAGATTTTTATGGGTTAAAGAACATAGCAAGCTATGACAGTGTCGATGCTCAAAAGCTACATGCATCAACAAATGAACTTTGCATTTAATAACCTTCTGCTTTAAAAGCATCTTTTAAAAACCCACATCTAGAAAAACAAGCTTTGTACAGGCTCACTAAATATATATCTGGTGACATTATTGCTCAGAGAGGTAACTGACCAGAAGATACATGCTGTTTCTGAAAGCCAGTCAGTAGCTCCAAGCCTCCAGAACACAAAGTAAAAAAGAGCAGCTTCAAGTCTCCACCAGAATGCCAAAACAGGTATTACCATTGAATCAGAGACCCAGACCGTAGCAGATCAGTGTGAAAGAAGAAAATTTCATATTATTTTGTGTTTCTATTCATACTGAGCATTACCCTCTGTATAAACGAGCATGCAAGTGAGCCAGGCAGAGGTGCCTTGGTAGCACATAAGGTAACTTACTTCAGTTTTACATGAAAAATGATGCCCCACAGATCTAGAAATTGTGCAGGATACAGTGTTTTCGCTATATAAAGAACCTCATGTCGTGAGAGAGATTTGCTGCTCTAAAGTGAAAGTAAGGTTCTTTACATCAGTGTTGGGGGGTTGGTTTTTTGTTTTGTTTTTTTTTTCTTATTTTTTTCATTATCTAAAACAGTAACAAAAGGATTTGCTACCTGCCACATGAATCCTAATCTGACGCAATCTATATATAAATACAGTGGTTATGTGCTGAAGAGGCTTTCAAACAGCTGTAGCAGAATTTTTGTAATCTTATTTTTCAACTCTGTAGATTTTCTTCTAGAGGAATTCTCTAATTTCATACACGTTTAATTCAATCTCTTTAAAGAATAAACTTCAAAAGCCCACTTAAAAAGGCAACAGTTTGTTTCTAAGTAAACAGCTGTGGATTTTAGCATTAAGGCATTAAGACTGAAAATCCTGAACATGCAAGGTGAATGGTAAACAAGATATATGAGTCTGAGTTCATTACTGCTGACTTGCTTCTCTCCAGTAGACTGGTTTGGTTGGGAGGGGCTTTTTTTTTTTCAGATACTCAGATTGTTACAGCATACCAAGAAATTTATAAATGAACTCTTGACAAAAATTCCAAGAAAATATATTTATTTAATTTTAGCAAAGAAAACATAATAAAATAACAATTTCTTATACCCTTTTTTACAAGATTTTTTATGTTCAAACATTACAATTCTGTTACAAATTTCAATTAGTATTTAAAATTTTAGAGGACCACATTCACTGAAAAAGCCAATAACTTTTAATACTAAAAAATATACAGAGTTAGTGCAAATGTTTTATTTCTTCTGGCTAGTGCTAAGCATTCAAGTCCTTTACAATACTGCAAAGTATGTACTGGATCAGCAATATCACAAGCATGCAATTGGCACGCACAACTATTAAATCAAGTGAACAATACAGATCGTAATTTTTCATAGTTCCCAAACTCAAGTCTTCAGCTGAAGCAAAACGGATCTAAGCTTGAATCTCCTCAAAACAAGACAATTACCAGGCAAGTACAATTCCTGATTTTGACATGTTTATACAGGTCTTTGGAACGCAACCAGTACTTTCTCTGCAGAATCAGATGCAATGCCATTGTGATTTTTTATTTTTGCAAACAGGAATTGGGACAGCAATTCCTGAGATTCTGTAGGAATTGTTTTGACAGCCATCAGGTTTTGTTAATTTTCTGTGTTGCATCTACTCAAACCAGTTTTCTTTCAGTAAAAAATGAACAGCGTCATCAAATCCATTTTGGTACAACGACTCCATTTTCTTCTTGTTTGGTGGGAAAAAAGCTTGATTAAGTCTTACTAGGTTGGCCAGAGACAGCTGCAACAGAGCGAGAAGCTATAAATTAGTTTATTAAAGCAACTTATCTAGACTTGACTGTGTTGCTATCTGTTCTGTCATGTTTCATGCAGCATATGTAAAAACAAAAGTCCAGAATGGCTACATCTACACTAGTGAATTAACCATGTCCAGGTACACTGCTGAGAGCCAGGACAAACTGGCACTTAGGGTCTGAATAAACGCTAGTAAACTCACAGCATCCAAGACAGACTGCATGCCTGTAAAACTGCCCAAAGTTTCTGAAACATTTTGACTTTGGAATCATTCCTGAAGTGTCTGGCAGAGTGGTCCTGGCACATGCTAAACTTGTGCAAGGAAATATTTTGACAGTTTACTAGTGCAAACAACCACATTCTTGGGAACATTCCCAAGCAATGTTTAACATATGAGTATAAATGTAGCTTGTATCAGCAACAAATTAAGAACTACTCAGCATGTCAAGTGGTCATTTTGATGGTGTAAAAAGATTTCAAAACTTTGTTCTTAACTACAGGCGTAATTAAATTAAAACTAATGTTCATTTAATTTATTAATACTTTAGCTAAAGACTTTATTATATGCAATTCTGCAAAACAGTATCAAAATAATCTTCACTATTTGAAGTAAGCAATTATTCAAATTCTGGCACTAATAGATGGAGGAGGTTTGAGGAGACACAAAACTGTTCACATTCCAGTACCAATAAATTAAAATATACAACTCTTCATTTTATGCAAATTAAATTGCTAAAAAAAAACCAAAAAAACCTCTTAGTGCACATTTTTACAGCTCTACAAGCTAAAGGTGCTTTGAATGGAATAGTTTAAAATGTTGCCCAAGTTTCCTCACAAGTCTGCACCTGCATGACCTTAGAAGCAATGTAAATCTGCAATTAACTTTTTGTCTCTAAAATAACCTAAACTCCAGCTCATTTTTCCTCCTCTAGATGCACTAGAGTTTAGATACAAATCATGACTAAGAAATATACAGTAACCGACTGCATATTATTTAAATATATATTAAATCAGTAATCATACCTTATGACCATTTACCAAGTATTGCTATGCTTAAAATCTGTGAAACATTATAAAGATTCAGAAATTGGTCTATTTTAGTATTGCATTACATAACACTAATTTTACTCAAATTAAGAAAACATGGTAAGAACTGTCTAAAAGAAACTAAAAAAAAAAGTACCATTTTTTGTTAATCTTCATTTCTCTTTCAATGGGATTTTTTTGACAGCTAGGTCTACTGCTATTCAATATTTTCTTTCATCATGTCAAAGGAAGCAAGACTGAGGTTAAAGTTTATGAGAAGAACCTTGCAAAGACAGAAATGTCAATGATGAAAAGGAGGGCATAAAAATCATAAAAATCAGTCTTAGCTTACATTTCAGTATGCAGAAATGTTTCTATAACATCTGACTTCTGAGAAAGCACTGTGGTCACAAATGTTCACAAGCTTTCTTCAGCAATGAAGTGACAAGTCATTGCATACCATTTCAAATGTACAACTTAAACTTGTATTTTAAATTCAGTTAGAGCAGCTGATTTCAATAAGGATGAAGGGCTGTTCTGGCATTTCTCTCTCCAAGGTATTCTACAGAAGTCCTATAAACACTCTGCTTAGCCAAAACCAGCTGACACTTAAAGCAAGCCTAGATTATTTACATTTAAAAGCTTGTGATAATTTGCTCAATTTCATACTAGATCAATGTTTTTCAACCTTTCTTCTTTATTCTACATTTTCCTTCCCTTGTATTTAAGAAAAAGTTTACCCTCCATTTGCAAACCAGAAAATGCCAAAATACTACTTAAGTTGATATATAGGCACAAACCAGACACTTAAAAATAAGCATAGCCTTAACTGCACAACTACTTTTTCTTCTTATGAATTTATTTAACAAACAAGCAACTCACCATTATATCTTGTTTTGCATATTTAATATAAAGATCCACATGTCCTTTATCTTGTGGACATATATCTAAACGACCACTGAAAGGAGAAATTGTCACAGTTCTTCCAAAAGGCAAGATAGGAAGGCCATTGGTAATGCCACCATCAACCCACCTCTATTGGGAAACAGAAATATTTTAAAAGTAACCTTAGGACAGTATGATCATGACTGAATACTTCATCCTTCCTGTCCCTCCTCCACCCCACCCTTAAGAAAACTTACAAGATCCCTTCTCGGAATACCGTTAATAACTTGTGTATAATACATAAAAATCAAAGACCTGACAAAGTACACACAGAGTGTTTCATTAATGAGCATTTGACATTATGTGTAAATACATGAGGTATTTATCAAGCTACTGATAAGTCTTGTTAACCTAGTAACAAAATGCCCCAGGCAGAATTTTTTGCAACACATACATGATAACATCAGATAATAATATTACACATGAAACATATCATGAAACATATACTCCTCTAAAATATTACTCTGATGCAAATTAGGAGCTGGACAACATGTATGTTCAAGTAAAGTGATTGCAGAAACTAAACCAAAAATGACTCCTCTCTTCTCCCAGAGCCTCTTGTATTCTTATATATACAATACAAGACAGCAATAGCTGGAAAGCTGAAGGTAAAGGTGGAAAAGAGCTGAACAACTATAGCACATAAGAGGGAGCAGATAACAAGTCTGCTAAAGAAGCTGAGTATAGGAAAGAATGAGGAAGGAAAAACAAAAGCAACCAACCGAATTCTTGCAGAGCCCCACATATGAAAGACTTGGGGATACTGGCTGACAAGAAGCTTAACATGAGCAGTGTTGCGCTTGTAGCCAAGAAAGCCAACCACATCATGGGCTGCATCAAAAGGAGCATAACCAGCAGGTTTAAGGAGGCGATACTCCCCCTCTACTCTGTTCCCATGAGAGCCCACCTGCAGTACTGCGTTCAGCTCTGGGGCCCGCAACACAGGAAGGACTTGGACCTGTTGGAGCAAGTCCGGAGAAGGGCCACAAAGATGATGCGCTGGAGCACCTCTCCTGTGCAGAGAGGCTGAGAGAGCTGGGGTTCTTCAGCCTAGAGAAAGCTCAGGGGAGACCTTACAGCAGCTTTCCAGTAGCTTTACCTACAATTAACCTGGAGAGGGACTTTTTATATGAGCAAATAGCTATAGAACAAGAGGTAATGGCTTTAAACTGAAGGAGGGTAAATTTAGGTTAGATATTAGGAAGAAATTCCTCACTATGAAGGTGGCGAGGCACCAGAACAGGCTGCCCAGAGAAGCTGTGGATGCCCCATCCCTGGCAGTGTTCAAGACCAGGCTGGATGGGACTTTGAGCAATGTGGTATAGTGGGAACTGTCCCTGCCCATGGCAGGAAGGTTGGAACTAGATGACCTTTAAGGTCCTTTCTAACCCAAAGCATTCTAGGATTGTGATTCTGTGATATTTTGTGTCTAGAGGCAGTCTAGGGGCACAAGCCTGGTCTTTACACGGACCACACCCAAATTCCATTTCAGTGCAAGCCAAATGCTTCCCAAAAAGTATTCTTCCTAAAAAGAACACTGTTGCGAGCAGTTTACCCTAGGTTGTACGGACAAGCTATCAAAAAATTTGGCTATTATTTGATACCATTCCAGCAGAAGTGCACCATACTCCCGTACTTACCATGCATCATACACCTGAATATCATACTGAATTACATTTTAAAAATGCTCCCAAATGACCTGGTAATATGTATGCAAGTGACATATGTAGCACAGAGAAGATGCACATTAACTGTTCTGAAGCACATATAAGGCCAGTAGACTTCAGTAGCTAGCAGAGAGTAACCTTGACTCCATGCTGCCCTGGAATACCACCTAAGGAATAACTGAAACTAGTGTAAATGCAGACAGACTGAACACTGGCCTTTTACAGTACAGCTTCCATAAAACTTGGAATACGCTAATATGACAGGTGACCTCACAGAGTCAAATGAATATCCAGTCCATCTTACTGATTTCAGTGCTGACAATGCCTAGATCAGGAGGCTACATGTCACATATCTGGCTCTATACTGAATCCTTTAGGGCCTCCAGTACCCACTCACATAAACTCATTACTATTGCAAGAGAGATCCTAAGTTCCCACCCTGCTCTAAGTGCTGTGGACTAAGAGAATGGAAGCCATATCCATTTAACAGAAAAAAAAAAAAAAAATATCCCCAAACCACCAATGCAATGTTTTACAGAGTATGAGAAAAGTCAGTGAAGACATGCAGAACTAATCAGAACAAGTAACAATAAATGAAAACAACCTCATTCCCAAAAAATACCTTTTTTTTTAATCTCACAGAGGGTAGTAAGAAGCTTTGGGAATGACAAACAAGCTTTCAAGTAACAGAATAACCAGTTTCTGCAAAAAAACATCCATTGATTTCACTTTTGAATGCAAAGAATTAAGTTAGGCAGGAATGAGAAGTGTGCACTAGGAAGAAGCTGCAGGTGTTCCAGTAAATACTGCAATACTCTGCAAACCATAATAGCAGAGTTCATCTAATAAAATGAGTTTTAGATGAGCTTTGTACAAAACTCCAAAGCACCTTTTCAATTTCTTAATTGAAAGAAGAACACAAGAAATTTAACAATGTCATTTCTTCCCTTTAACTAATGGCAGAATGAACCCAAACATCCATGCATGACCACTACAATGCACAAACAACATACAAAGACTCCAATCAGATCATGGGAAGCTGCAAGCAACTGTCAGGCAATACTGATTTAAATCATTCCAACATTTTAGCTGATATATATTGCTGTACACATAATTCTAAAGCTGGCAAACTTTGACATAACAAACTCCAACTCCCTCTTGCTACAAACAAATACATATTGTTTTGGAGATGTTTCTTCTTTGCAGGGTTGCTGTGAGGATTATAGATGTTCTAAAGACATCATGTGGATATGTATGAGGGAGTAAAGGGAAAAGTACCATGTAGTATTTCTCAGAAAGAAAGAAATGGCTATTTTCATCTTTCTAGTTATTACAAACATACTAAACAGTCAAAATTATTCTTGAAGTATTAATATATTTATGGAAGAAAGACAAAAATATTCTTGAAGATAAATCAAGTACAGGCAACTGTGAAAAGGTTTTCTTATAGTACTGTACACCTCTGAAAACTTCATAACTGTGTGTTATAGGAAAAAAGTTTATTCTTTAATGCTTGTCCAAAGGTAAGAGATTTGAAAGTGCCTGGCAAGCATGTAATTCCGTACACACCATGAGAACAACACATATGTAAACAAGCACACATACTCCAGCAGTGTCCAATCTGCCAAGACCTTCCTTACCATTCTTTCCATTAAACAGAAAAGCAGATTGTTGGTCCTTTAAATTTCAAAAAGCATTTTAAAGTTGGTAACACAGCTTGTCATGAGAAGCATCTTTACTAAGACGTTAAGGAAACAGCTTCATGCACAGAGATCATCTCAGTCTCAGCACCCACAATTTTTGAAACAACCCATGAACAAACTCATGTTACCTTTTTCATGGTGTTAATCTACAGTATCAACAGAAACAATAACTATTCTAATAAATATAGTATTGCAGTTGTCTTCCCTTAAGATAATATAATTGCATCATAAATGAAAAATACTCTTTCACAACAAAGTTTGTAGTTACACTTAATGAAAAATTACCTCTCCTTTATATTCCACTGGCTTAATTCCTGCATACACTGGTACAAAACTACTTGCCAGCAGGACCTACAGAAAATAAATGAGAAAGAATAGAGAAAAAAAAGTGAAGAAAAGGCAGCAAAGTAATTCCGAACCATACGTATTTTCATGCATGTATACCCATATTAAATAATATGGCATTAATCAGTCAATACATTAGTTTTGCAATGCATAAATTTACATGCATTGAGATTTTGTTACCGAGTATGCTCTTTTTTCTCTAAGTGTTAATTATAAAGAAGATCTTATTTACTCTTATCTTTTCCCATCCACAAGAGTAGGGAAAGAAGGAATTCCTTCTTATTCTATTTCCTCCTTTATTTTGCTATATCTTATGATATCCTCCACTAAGGTATAGTCAATTACTAGAAAGAACATTTGCTTTACATGCATCTGAATTCCTCCTACCATTTCATATCAGATTATGTATACAATCTTGATCCAGATTTTAAAAGTGACATTCAAAAGAAGAGACGATCAGTAAAAGATATGCTTTCCAGTGACAGTTAAAATACAGTTTATATATGGTATTTAACATTATATTATATCTATTCCCCACAAGGAGCTGTAGAAAGTATTGGATTTTCAGTAACCTTTACTTTCATGATGAATTAAAGTATAAATGGTATCAATGACGAGAAGCAAAAAGACAGCAAATTGTTACAAAATTTTGAGATTATCTGTTTTACTCTCATCTACTGTAACCATTAGTTACCCTTTTGCTTTTTAAACACACTTTGCCTACAAGGTAGCACTTTAAAGACAAATGAAAGAAACACAAACACCAAAATAACTTGTAGTGGAATTTGTGAAACTGTAGGATTGAATTCTGCTTCCATCATTTATGTTATGGTTGTAGCACCACTGACAGTGTGACTATTTGAGTAAAATAGTGATTTATTGTAAAGCTAATAACATTCTCCTAAGTCTTGAGGAAACTGAAGCATTTTTATTTAAGGCAGCAATATTCAACATCATTACCTTAATGAGGTCCTCCCTGGAGGCAAAATTTGAAACCAAATGATTTTCCCCGTTTCTGGTGTTAGTGACTGACACATAAAGCCGGTTCTCAGCTATCTCATGAACATTAGGAGGAAGAATAGATTCTATGCCTTCCCTAGAGTAATGAAAATGCTTAGCGTTATTCACCATCACTATTTTAAAACCTTGCAAATATGTTAGGGGTGAAAAAGTGCTGAGAGCCCCACAGTATAGAAAAAATATGCACACTCTCCAGTTTTATTTAGAGCTTCACACATAAATGATCTTACAGATGCATTAAGATAGGTACCTAAGTGTCTTCATAAAATCATAACCAGGTGTTAAAGCACCGAAGTCCAATTTTCTAACTTCCTCTGCAAATCCATAGGCAAACTGCTTACTTTGCTGGAAATTAAAAACATTCACTATTAAGGATATTTTAATTATGGGAAGTATGTTCAACTGTGGTATCTAAAACATGCTAGCAGCTAAAACTTTAATCAAGAGAGCACTATAAGATCAGACTGAAATTCTTTTATGTGCTTGGTTTGTAATATTATATGCATAACAAAATGTTGATCCTTTATAAGAACTATTTTGTAAGAAATTTAGATCCCAAATAAAAATAATTATAACACTAATAATACTAATAACAATCCCTCATCACAAGATCACAACTTTAACAATCAAGGAAAATTAAAGGTTATTTTTCTATGCATTACTACTGCTAAACAGTCAGTTCTCTGAACCATGCCATTACAAGAATGGTCATTTATATTTCAAGTGTGAAGCCACCTTTTATTTTAAAGACTACTTCAATACTAAAACCATATACAAGATCCCCATAAGCATGTAAAATATTACAATTAACACAATTTCTTCTCACTAATGCAAAAATCATGCTACATAAGTACATACACATATATAAATACATGCTACATAAATAAATGCATATACTTATTGAATACAATACTATGAAAGCACTTAACGAATGGAATACTGTGATGGGTGATGACATACAAAGAAAAAGCATTACAGAAAACCAGACAACAGATTCCACTGCACAGAAAACTTCTTTTATACAAGATGAAATACCTAGCATTAGTGACTGCAGAAAAACAGCTTGAAGTGTGAGCCATAAGAACTCCAAAGGGAGAGTAAAGGAATTGGTAGCATCTATCTTTTAGCAATAAGATTCTGAAGCAATAAATTATGATTCAGAATGCTTAAGACTCACTATTCAGTATTTATATATATATATATTTTTTTTATCCTTTCATGCAGACTTCTCTAGTGATTTGGGGGAAGAAAAACCTAAATCCAATCTCATGCAGTTTTCTGAAATTCAATAAATATATTATGCCCTTATTTACATATATAACCACATGTTTACAGAGGAAAAGATGTCTATAGATAGATTTGGGTTCTTGGCATATTAGCTTCCTGCATGAAGGACAAATATGCTGCTAGTAACAAAATAAATGATTGATATGACCAGAGGTGAAAAAAAAAAAAGTGTGTCCTACTGAGAACTGTACAGGATTTAATGGATGGAAAACCAGGAAAGCGTTGGGGTAAGGATTAATATGAGATCATGAGCAAGCTGACTGAAGCAGTTAAACTCTGTCACATCACTTGTATGACAGAGCATTCAAGACAGGAAAGCAGTCTTTGCATCCACTTTCTCTATACGGCCTTTGAATAAATGTGTCAAAAAAAGTACATAAAGAGGCCCATACCTCTTAAAATAACAACCCCTGTAAAGATTTGCGCACATTCATTTCACATAAGTTAGATTTGCACCTTTACCCTCTGAGGTACTTGCCATTGCCAGTTCCAAGCCAATTCAAAAATATAAACTAATATATAAACCTAGTTATATGCACAAAGTATTAATCTACATTAGGCAGTTAGGCTTTTGTAGTCAGTCAGCTGCACATTCAGACACCTCATTCTCCAAATACAGAAGAAACAAAACCCCACAGAGAGGCACCTCAGAACTACTATCGTTAAACCTAAGATGATTTAATAAAGTGATGGAGCAAAAGGGAGCTGGATGAATGCAAACCTAGGTGAATGACAGGAAACTACTTTCCATATTACAAGTACTAAGAATAAATCATACCTAGACTCTCAATTCTTGCTGCCAAAAGGGACAACTTCTTACAGATATGACTGTTTTACGATTTTAGTGCTAGAAGCTTTAAACAATACATCTAAATTTAAAACAGTGAGTGAGAACATGTTTAGAAATTGTAACTACTTGTATTAAGCAAACTTGACATCAAACATGATCAAGGTACTTTTGAAATAAATACATACTTATCTATAACTTTAGAAGACTCCCTAGAATTCTCAAATCCCATGCCTTTTCAACAGTGACAAAAATTCAAGACATGACAGAAAAACATTTGCAAACTGTCATATTAGAACAGCAACATTCAAAACAAGAAATCCTCAATGGTAAAATTCTCTCCAAGATAAGGAAAGGTTGTTTTAGAGCTTTGAGACTATGATGAGATGGAGAAAATCCTAATTCTACCTTGTCTAACATAGCCATCTCTGGAGAGAGAAGGAAAAAAAAAAGGAAAACGAATTAACTGATGCAAGATGTAGATATAAAATATTTTAACTCAAGAATGTAATAATATAATTACCCTGATATGAAAAGTTAATTCTATTCAGTACAAAACACTGCCTTTACTGAAATTCCATTAGAATTAGGAAGAAATACAATACAGACTTAGTTTCCACAAAACAACGACAACAAAAAAATGTTCTAACATTTTTACTTAGAAAGATCTTCATACGTTAGACCAGGCTAGGACCAAATGGTCATTGCTCACCTAGATGCTACAATATGCAGAAAAAGTTCCCTGAACTGTTAAAAGTATAGCTGCTGTACTCACCACAAAGGAAATCAGAGGTATGCATCATACCAGACAAACTTGAAATTGAACTACTAGTCAGAGGCTACTAACATCTTAACAGAATTCAAGTAAGGTTCTCTTCACAACAGAGTGGAACTTGCCCAATACCAAATCATATAAAGAATGTACCTGGGGTGGTGGTGGAAAGAAGCCAGGGAATAACTTACTGCTGAAAGCAACAGAAGTATAGCTAATTCTGCAAGCTATGTTCATATCCCAGCAGAAACAAGCAACAAACAAACAGAAAAATCAGTGGCAAAGTGTGGTATCAGCAGGGAATATTTTTTTAACCAAATGCAATGAAAGCTTTAATAAGCGAGGCCTGGAGAAAGTTAGGTGATGCTCACTGGACTGAAACCTAAGTGTACTTAGACAAATATCTAACAGCTTTCCCTTCCCTCCCAATAATGCTGTTTATTATAATTCAAAATATTAAAGAAATAGCATTTTGGCAAGGCCTAGTCCTCTATGAAAGTCACTACAGGCACTTCAGGAGGACAAACTATGGGGAAAACCAACCAAACAAAAATGAAAGCTAATGCTCTCCCCACAGAACCTGTAATAGAGTTGTCATCAAATATAACTTTGCTGTCTCTACATGATGCCATATTCACAGTGAGAAAAGAGTGGCATCTCTGGAGAAAAAAGGCACAAAATGCTACAATGATATAATGGGGCTACTGCTGTTACACTGTGAATGGTACTTAGTGAAAAGGAGGTGCACAAGCCAATTCTTGTACTGGCTAATGAAGCACAGTCAGGAAGGAAAAAATTGAGCCAGTGTGTGGTGTTCTTTGACTTTATGAAGATACATTCAATCTACCATTTTCATCTCCTTTCACAAAAAAAAAGGAAAGGATAGTGCTATTCATTTGCATAACAAAGCCTAACTCTAGCCAAGACCACAATGATTAACTTTGTAATGGACAAGGATTAAGTACACACAGACTCTGGTATATTAACGTATATCTGGCTGCATACAACTGAACATTCACACACATTATATTTACATAGCCTAAAATACAAGTTTCCTATGACAGGTTTTTTTTTTTCCATAAAGAAATACTTGCTTCGTAAACAGTTCTGCCCACTAGTCAACAGATTTTGTTTATAAAAACATATACACAAGTCCTGGTCCTTTACAGCGATTAAAGCAAGAACCAAAATACTTTTAAAAAATTAATGGTAGATGATATATCAAAAATATCCTTGAAAATTATCATGTTCTATACCTACGAGTTTATTAATTTACCTCTATATTTTCTGGTACTGCTAATAAGACAGTGGCAGCCAGTGATCCCGCAGAAGCTCCCGCAAAAGCTTTCACCTCTTTCAGTAACTTCTTACCATGCTTGTAAAAAGCAGCTGCTGCCCCCAAGTGGTAAATACCCAGAAAACCACAAGCTGCAAATGACAGATTGATGTGTTTCATTTTTGCTGTGGAGATAAAGTTTCACAGTCGGAAAAAGGATCAGTTAATTTTATCTTATAATATACATCTATTCTTTTCGTACAGAACATATAATATACTACATCTAAATAACAAACAGCAATTTATTTAAGAAAAGTAAAAACTTTTGATTACTAAATACATCGAACAAGTAGCATTTAGTTCCAAAATTGGAAACAACCCTAAATTACTCCTTGGGACAAATCCCTTTTTCAATCAAGAAATAAATATACACATATACATATATATATATATACACACATATATATACACAAAATTTCATCTAATTTGTCAAAGAAATACAAAGCAAAGGTAGCTACTCAGAAGCGGTAAAAGAATGCCACTGCAGAGCAAACACGGTTAGTCATCTACAGTCAAAGTCAAATTATAAAACTGATGGCTACTGTGTCATCACACTCCCCTTACACATACACAGCCCTGAACCCAATATAATTCTGTAAAGAAGTAGCTTGTTTCCTGCACCTTTGGAACTCATTTGCTTAGTAATATTATTAGTAATCATTAATAGACAAATTCTTAGAATCATTTCTTATTTAAAAAAGAAAAAAGAAAGCCCACAACATATTGTTGCTACTATTAAAATAAGAAATAAAAAATATTAAGCAAAATATAAAGTACTAAATGCAGGAAAACATATTCTGAAGGGGTCAAGAATATAGTAATTTAAAATTAACAAAACACAAATAGAAGCATAAATTCAGATAATTAGGGACGGTTTACTAAAAAGAATAACATATGATGCTGTATATTTTTTAGCTCTTGTTTCTGCAAATAACTACAATTATGAGAGCAAGATATTCCACAGATTATATTGTACAGATATACAGGATATTGGACAGATTATCTTCGTTTTAAATCAAAAATAGACACCTAGTCTATCTGGGTACATATCAACATGAATAGGACAAAAAAAAAAAAGTTGGTCACTCAGGAATATACTCGATTTTATTGGTTTGTAATAAGACAGCTGATGAGATGTTTCTTTTGGAAATAATCTACAGACACTGTGGTATCTGTTCTCACGAAGAGAGGCAAACGTACAGAAACAGAATTTGGTTTAAGTTGCCTAATCAGCACAGAGATGAGAGGTGCAGGAAAGGTTAGGATAAGAAACAGGTTTCAAGAACACTAGAAGAGAAGACATACTAAACTGCTAAACCAAACTAGTCACCCATAACATTGTCTCCTTTGAGAACACAGGCAGAATTAGTCTCGAGGAGAAAAGACAACGTACAAAGAATCGTGCCTCGCCTATACCACCCAAGGAGACCTTTCACTGTGCTTTTTGCAACTGGATTTGCCTATCCCACATTGGCCTCTTTAGTCATCAAGGCTCTTGTAGTAAGCGTGGGTAAAGCCCTTCCCAAATCTTCGTTCGTGAAGTCAAGCCATCAATGAATCAATTATTAAAATGCAACAATGTCTCAGTGACAGGGAATACTGTAATGTTTAGTGCATTATCATTTTGCTAAAACACTATACTATCATAAGGCAGTTTATAGACTGTGCTTTACCCCCTTTACACTGAAAACCCTTGCACATCCACTTACAAGTAGGAATACCTGTAAAGCATCTTACACATTTGTACTGATAGAAAGGACTTGAGGTCGACTCTTGCTATGACAATGACAGGCATTTGCAATGAAGTAAATGCTAAATCATGTTGCTAATTTTACAAAGAAAGGATCTTTTAATCTAAATAAAAATCACTGTACTGCAGAGAAGATAAAAGTTTACTCAAGATTTTACTGGAAAACAATAAACATAACTCTACTTTGAGGGGTTTTTTTTTCAGTCAAGTGCCAGGAAACTAAAACAGACTTTGAAGTATGATTCCATGATGTGCTTCCTTTCAGGCTAGCTAAACTCTCAGGAGTTTAATGAACTGCTGCAGCTGTTTCCATGCCTTCTACAAATTAGGAGCAAAGATACATTTGCATCATGGGCCACTCTGACAAGAAGGTGAACTTGGTCAAAGCAACTGCACTATTAGGTATGAAGAAACACAAGCATGGAAAAATTAACTCCCATTTTTTTTCCAAAAAGATTTCAGTCTCAAGACACTACTAATAGTAAACATTATATAAAATAAGGACCATATTTATGTAGTTGATTGGTCAGAAAATAAGCAAAGTAAGAGTTCACAGATCGCAAGAATTACATCTACAGGACTTACGAAATATAATTTTAAGATAATGGGTAGGATACGGTTATGTAAATAAAACCAAGCATATATATGCTTATGTCCATGCACATCTTCTGAACTTCCTACAAGGCTCATCCACAAAGCATTCCAAAAGGTTATCTCTCTCTACTGTAAGATAATTAGATGTTCACAAAAAAAAAACAACAACACAAAAGCCCAAGCCAAACAAAACACACCAAAAGATGAAAACTAAAGCATACTTACACTAAGAAATTTAAGATTAAATAAAAAAACCCACAACAGATCAGAACAAAAACTACTGCAAATATACTGACTAAAGTCAGATGTCCGCTCCTGTTTTTACAACACTTCATGAGGAAATTTCATTTTCTGATGAGTTTTATTCCTAATTACCAGTTATTGTGAGTAACTGCTGTTCTCTTGAGTGTCTGGATACATGGCATTCATTTTTTAAATGAGAGTTAATTCTTAATACTTAGATCCCATACTTCTCGCTCTTTATTCCCCTACCCAAGAGACAGAAAGAGATTATTCAGTGAGTATTCACATCAGTAGCTTGACTGACAGAAGGATTCAGGGAGAGATAAGCATGCAAAAAGAAAAAAATAACACTAGGATTTCAAGTCAAGAAATACTGTTAAAGAATACTGTCAGTCTTGTACTCTATTTAGACTAATTTCAAGTCCAAAAAGATGAAGTGAAAGCAACCCAAACAGCAGTTAAAAGTCCTCAACCTTTTTTTTTTTCTTACCTCTCCTGCTCCTCCCCCCCCCAGTAGAAGTACTTGATCCACTGGATTTGTATGACACACAATACGGCACTGTTTTACAGGTCTCCCAAGAGGACTTCAAATCAAAAGTAACAACAGTTTAGTTGCATTATCAAGGCACTACATTTTTATTAATTGGAATCAGCTCCCAGGTCTATGTTATGTATGTCACATATATATGAAATTTAAAAATACTTCAGTACAAATGTTAATTGGCAGATTACATTCATGTTCAAATGACAGATCCAGCTGTTACATCTAGCTGCATGACTGAGAAACAGGTTTTGCACATACTTGTAATGACACTATGACTGGGTAAATAGTGAGAAGTAAAAAAAAATAAAACACTGAGTTATAGCATAATTCAGGAGGTCTGCTGCCCAAACCTTCTGCTCAAAACAAGGCCAGCTATCAGATCAAACTGGCTCAGGGCTTGCACTATGCATCTGCCTGCAGGGAGGTTCTGTACATTGCATTGAAGGCCGGTTAAAACAAATCTGTAACAAAGCACTAACCTACAAAGATCATACAGATGAGTAAAAATTGTGGTTCCATAAGAAACTACCTACATGACAGATGCAGCTAAGCAATGTCACTTCACCTTGCAAAGGAATCTGAGTAGAAGATAAGAAAGCAGGCATTACAGCAATAAATAGAAAACCAATGTACACCCTTTTATGAGAATACAAACTTTCCCTTTTCTTTTGATTCCTGCAAATACATTATGGCAACACTTGATTTGCAAGTTAGAACGGTGAATTTCAGAGACAGTATGATTCAGAAGTGTCTTTTGCTTTGATAATCTAGGTAGACCTCTTCTGATCAAAACGAATAGTTGGGTTATAACAATTCCCAAGAGGACATGCAGAGAAATTGAACTAAGTCTACAGGATGACTATTCCCCTGCAGATTTCTTACAGACTACCAGAAATAGGAGCATAGTCACATCTGGACATAGGCCATTTTTTCAGCTGCCTGAGCCAACAGCAGAAATCTTGCTATCTTAGAAATGCTTTGAAACACCTGCTCCACAGGACTTCAGAACAAATACTCCTGGATGGTTCAGTGTAAGTTCTGACCATTAAAGATATTATCTATTAACTCAAAGTTATCATATTGCCATGTCTTAGGAAAAACTGTCAACGAAACTTAAAAGATGCATAAGTACATTTCAGCTGGACAGTGCACACTGTAAAGTTCTGTCATAAATATGACATAGCAATAGCACAGAGCAACTGCTTTTGCTACTGCTTTTAGAAAACATTGTCATTTTAACCAAGTAGATAGATACGCTTCTGTTGTATCCAAGAAAAAAAAATAGAAGAATAAGAAAAGAGAAGTAAAAGAAGAATCCAGAAGGACGCTGGTCCTGCTCAATCTCATTACTTTACAGATAATGCAGGAGCATTCAGGAATAAACATAAACCTTAGACTTCTATTTAAAAGATTCTCACATCTGTGAAAACAACAACAAAAAAATATGCTGCTGATTAAAAATACACCAGGGAGGGAGTAACAGATGGGGGAGCAGGGGAACATTTTTGGCTTACTCAGCAGTATCTTTCATTTGCAATGCAAAACTAAAAGAGAACGTATGTAAGGAGACAAGCCTGTACAGCAGAATTACGACACAGTACAATACAGCTTTTTCAGAATAGGTACTCTCTTCCTAATTGTCATGCACAAGAAATAGCACAGCAGTTTCTCATACTGCTGTTTCCTGAGCAATATAATGATATAAAGAGCACAGGATCTCAGCGTCTTAACCAATCATAACGACCTCCCTGTCATCTCATTTGTAAATAAAAGCTGAAAATGCCCAAAGCAACTGACTAAAACATCTTTATAAACAAAAATTAAATATGCACAGAATGTGAATGACCAAGCACCCTGAAGCACAGGAACTAAAATATGTGACGCATAACAGCACGTTTGAGGATTAGTTATTAGCTAGGAATGATAAAACAACCAAAATTACAGAAAGAACTGTTTAGTTAGGCAGCACTGCTAAAATAAAGGTTATAATTGTAATGACTAATTTATCTGAATCAGAAATCACCACTCACACAAGAATGTCCAATTTTTTTCACATTTATAACAGAAAAAGAAACGTTCACTAGCATCACAGATCATTCATAGCCTTTACGAATACTCAAGAAGTATTCAGTAAAGAATACTTCAGTCACATGGAATAAGCATTGAAAAAGTGTGATGACATTGAAGAAAAAAAAAATAATCAATACAAAATAATCAGTACACTATGTAATCAGCCATTAAGACATTTAGGAAAAATACACAGGTCCTTTTAACTAGAAAAATTGTGTATAAGCCCCTTAAAAGGATTTGTGAGTTAATCCTTGTGATTGTTTAGAGTAAAAAAATAAACACATTGCATGATACAAAGATTTCAAATTAAGAGTTTAGACCATCTTGATTATTAATACAAGTCTAGAGAGGACAGGGAAGGCTGTTCCTTCTTAAGAAGATGGCAGCAAAAGGCTCAATACCTTCTAATGAATGTTGGCTTCTATCGCACACTCCACTGGGACTTTTTCCAGCATCTATTTTAGTTTCTTCTGCACTTGTAGCCATTCCCATATCTACTACTGATTGTTTATCATTCATCTTTGAAACCTATAATCATACAGTCAAATATTACTATTAAAAACAGAAAACCAGGAAGATATAGGATAAACATTATTTATCCCCAAACAGATCAACAGTCAATTAAAATAGTTGTAAAACCATCTAGATGGTTCTCAATTGCTTAGCCCCCCTAAATAGTTGACACCAGAGTGTTCCACTATTTATACAGGCAGAAATTTATATTTTAAAGAGGAACTTAATTAGACATCTAGAAAAACACTGCTACTTGAAACTCTCAAAGTCAAATTAGCCTTCATTTGGTGTCCTTTCCCATTGTTTTTGTTTATATCCACAGTTTTTTTGTTTTCTGGGTTTTCTTTTTTCTTGTTTTTTTTTTTGTTTTTTGTGGGGTTTTGTTTTTAACGACCAGACTCTTATGCTTTTATCCTCCCTTACCAACCCAATAAAAATTGACCTTCCCCTCCCACTCCCCACTTTTTTGTTCAACATTGCCTTAGTAAAGTTTACAGAGCTCTGGTCCTATACTTCATCAAATGGCTATCACTCTAACTAATAAGCCTGCCAGATATAGTGCAGTATTGCCTGAAGTACAATTTTTTAAAAAATTAGTATTTCCCTTTAACTTAGAACTGTCAGACAAAAAACATCCTTCTGAAACACTTGTTCTCCTGCAACTTGCTGCTGACAAGCCCTCTACCTTGATATACTAAAGGTATCTTCACTTCATAAATAAGGCTGCAAGGTCAAAAGCTTAGCTCTGCAGATTTCTCAAGGAAATTATATTATCACTGTATTGATGCTCATCACTTATACCTACAGCCTCACAAAAATACTTACTTGGAATTGAACTTTGTTACAGGGTGCTCTTACAGTGCGACAGTTCAGAATTCCAATCCAGAACTGCTGAGTTTTTGGTAGTGTACAACTACATGATCTGTTTTTTTTCAACTGAAGCAACAGTATTTGAGCACTACAAAGACTTTTAACAGTCCACATTTTCTTAAAAGTGACCTCTGGATCCAGATGATGTGGTACCTAAACTGATACTCTTAGAAGCTGTTTCACCATGAAGTTACAAAGTAAGTATCGATGAGCTTGGACACCATTGCCAAACACAGTAGAAACTTTCTTCTAAACATAATCTGTTTAAAAACATTAAGGAAAAAAACAAAACAAAATTTAAGAATAGTTGAAAGGTAATTGCACACCAAGGCCCTGATATTGTAACAAGATCCTCTTCACAAACACTTTATTTAAAACACAGATGTATCAACAGTTGATTCACTTGACAGTGAAATAGTTCTAAGCAGAACTTTTGTTCAGTATCCATCTGGCACTGTGTTCTTCACCACTAACCATGAATTCAGTTGTTCATTTCAGAAACAGGAAGGACTAATATTGCTAGCAACACAAGGAACAAGCAAATGAACTGTGCCTTATGATTAACAATGTGGATACTGTGCTCCCTCTACCTCAGCTGAAAAATGTGCAACGAGTGTTCCAGCAAACTCAAACCAATAGCTCACAAAAACAAAGTGCGGGTGTCAAGATCCTAGTAAGAAAAACTCAAGCACTCTGGCTGATAGAAGACAAGCCTTGGAATCTTCCATTCTACAAGGATATCCTAGTAGCGACTTACAAATCAAATACAAGTCTGCTTTAAACCCAGCAAGACCTTGACCATAAAGAGTAACATATGCAAATTAAGTTTTTCAGATGAAAAACAAGTTACTGCCCTTACCATGAGTGCAAAGAAACCCAGTGCGCTTCTGCACAGGTGAGGTCTCAGGTGTACTTATCAACTTCAAACTGAATCCCGACTAAGTGAGTTTAAAGTTTTCTGCTTCGTCCTGTGCGCCATGAGAACAGGCCTGGAATGCAACTCGATTCCCCCAAACACACACTGTTGTTCAGTAAACAACGGGTACAAACAAGCAAAACACAGCAGAAACCCTGAGACATTTTTAAACGTCACATGACAGCCGAAGCGAACACAGCACTAAGTCACCGCGCCTTTTAAACTTGTAAACTTAGCAACCGAAGGACGATTTTTAAGAGGGCCACATCCCTTCAAATTTCCAGCTCACCCCCAGCCTCTCCCAGCCTCCCTTCCCGGAGGCTCCAGCCCCAGACCCTCCCGGGGGTCTACAGTGAAACCTGCGAGCCACATCCCCGGCACCAGGACCCAGACCGAACCAGAGCGGCCGCACGTCCCTCCACGACGACCAGGGAAGCAGGTCCGCGGGGAGCCGCAGAACCCACGAACGCTTACAACCTCCGCTAAGGGGGTGCGCGACGGGTGCCGGGCGGCTCCAAAAGGGCCCAAGCCCAACCCTGAAGTGCCCAACCTCTGCACCCAGGAGCGCACCCTGTCCACGGGTGGCTTTATCCTCGGGAGACGGCGAGGGCCTCCCCCGCTGCGCTGCCTTCCCCGGCTACGGCGACAGCGCTGGCTCCGTGAGCTGCAGCGGGGAGTACGAAAGGGCGCCCACGGAGCCTGAGGAAGCCAAGCGGCGGGGGGGGGGGGGGGGGAAGGGAGGGAGTACAGCCTTCCCCATGCTGCTGCTCCTACGCGCGTGCGCAGCGCGGGGCAGCCCGGCACGACAGTCAGCGTGTGAGGGGGACGGAGGAGATGAGCAGTTACGTCCCTCGAGGGGACCTTGTGGGCTGTTCCAGTTGGGGTGGCCTCTTTCCGCCGTGCCCACAGGTGCTGGGTGAGGCAGCGTGCCTGCCTAGGCTGGCCACCTCCTTCTCCTGCTCCGGGGCCTCCCGAGGGAGGGAGGCCCGCCGGGTGCCTTTCTGCCTGACTCACGACACCACTCAGTGAGCTGCCGCTGACAACCGGGAGACAGTGGCGCGTGTCAGCGCCGCTTTCCGGTCCGGCACTGCGAAGGCGCTTCCTTGTGGCTGAAGGGGTGACCTCGAGACGGCATTGAACCTGGGTTTTGGTTTGGTTTGGGTAGTCTTGCCCTTTTTTGGGGGGGTGCGTGTGTATTAATTAGGTGAGTCTGCTCACCCTGCTGGCAGGCGAGTAGCAGAGCCAGCTCAGCATGTAGATTCCAGGTGGAGAGGGATCCTATAGCCAACAGTGGATGAATAAAACCAGGGAGATAAAAGTGTATGTGTCAAGTCTCCCAGGGGCCTTACTGGAGTTAAACTAGCTGGGGAAAAGAAATATGTTAGACTTCACATACAAGCCTCCACTTCTGGAGTCCCTTATTACTTTTTGTTGGTGTATGGGAAAGGCTGGTATGGGTTTGGGATAGAAGGAGCTGCATCTGTTTTGTGTGGGACCTTGGCAGCTTCTGTTGTCTAAAGTGGTTGTGCATAGTTCAGTCGTCTTTCCAACTTCTAAAAAGCAATAGTTGCAAAACAGAGCCCTGGAATTGTTTTGCAGCAACCAAATAATCTCATGGTGGAGTTACTGCCTTTTCATCATCCTGTGCTCTTTCCCCATATTTACAGGGTGTGCTTGTAGATGAGAGACGAGCCGTAAATGTCTAAGAAAAAAGCCTGCTTTAATTACAGGCAAGAATTCTAATTTGTAGTGGGCAGTAGCATCATGAGCACCACTCTTGCATCTAAATTAATACTTGTTTCACAGCTATGACAAGTGCAAAGGTCACAAGCATAGCAGGAGGACCCTTTTTGTTCTCATCCTCCCAGATGTGGGTTCAGGTACATTAGGTAATCTCTTCTTCCTTCTGTAATATGTCTGATCTATTAATGAACTGGAAAATTATTCCAATATTAATCTTATTCCAATCTTAATACAGATTAAGATTTATGAATTGGTGAGAATGAAAACTTTAATCAAGGATAGTTCCATGTATAGGCAAAGCCACGTCATTGCCAGGGATAGCAGAGACATTGTCTTCCAAATGTAGCTGCTGACACTAGTGTCTCTTTTACCCTTTTAGAAGAAAGTGTAAATAAGACTTCTCCCCGTCTCAACTCAGTCCTTTCTCTTGCCCTCTCCCATAGGTAGACTTGATCAGACTCTTATCCATCAAGTGTCAAAGCTAATTATATCTGCAGCATGTTCATGTTTAGATAAGTGTATCCATTTTCAACATTTTTATAGCATGACATGTCTTTCATTCTTTGCTCCCTTAGTAGTTGTTCTTTGTTATATTCTGCCATTTTCTTAAGAATAAAATGTACAAAAAGAAAAAAGCTTACGTGAGTTATATAAACATTCTGATGGTTTTATATGGTGTGTGCCAGAATAGGCATTTTGGAGCACTGATATAGTTACTTGGAAATGTATATAAATTCAGTTCCCTTAACAAGATAAGCTACAGCGGCAAAAGGAGATTTTGGAATATGACTGTATCTGTGTTACTTTTTTGGTCAGCACAATTAAGTTGGTCAGTATTGTCCACTGTAACTTGTCACTGCTAGTAAGACTGAATTCTTATTTCACAGTCCTACATAGAAAATGAGAAGGCATACAAAGAAAATCATTGGGAGTGAAACTTAACTTGTCTTTCTTTATTACTGACAAAGATGTTATGTGTGTAATTTGGAAATATATTCATTTTAAAGTTATATCCCCTATTGAATGTCTCTTCTATGAGCTCTGCATAATAAATTTTCATGGGGACAATAGAGGATTCTTCTTGTAGATAGGTGTCATTAAAGGATTAAATACCGTTTTTTGCAACATTAATTCAAATTATTGGCCTAGATCCAAATACTGATACACAGAGCGAAAAGTTTGAGAAACATAATGACTTAATGCAGTGTATTAAGATCTGAAGAAATGTCTGGTGGTGTATCACAGGGAAAAAGATAAGCTTTTCTTACGGAGTAAGCACGGGCATATAGGTTACTGTTGAGCAATGTATACTCAAACCTACAGGTCTGACTGGTAGCCACTTGGAACTAATTCATTTCCTCACCTCTGTGTCACAGTCATCTCAGTGCTAAAAAAGAGGAGTGTGACTCCCTCTGTCTTGAAGTCTGTTGGGGCATCTGTGCTCTGAAGGATACCAGGCCCATTGCTGATACTACACAGCTACATAACCATGGCTCAGAAGACTGAGAAAATTGCAGAGTTGTGAGGAAAAAAAAAAAGAGGGGGGAGGGGGAAAAAAAAACCCACAACCTGTCAGGAAATCTGAAGAGGAGATTCATGTGAGATGAGAAAGCTAAAACTGCAGACACGGTAAGACAAGGAAAAGCATCAACATGGGCAAGTATAAAATCACAAATTAAAACCAGGGTGTCAGAAATGGCACAGCTGCGGCTCTGCTCCTGACATTTGTCTACCTGGCTAGTAAAGACCCTGCATAGTCTTACAAAACATGGTGAGCATATTAATGCCTAATCTAGTAGTGATCATATGTGTATGATAACCAATTAATAATTTTTATACTTCTAAACTGGGTATATCCTGCTAGGAGAGTCACTTTGTGCTTGACTAATGTGTCCAAACAGGGACCCAAAGAGTGATGATTACAGGAGATAGAAGTTCACAGATAAAGCAAATGTAGGAACTGTACCCCCAGAAAGCTCAAATGAACAGAGGTGCTTCTAGATAAAAAACAACTGGTTTTGCAAGGAGTCTAGTGACTTCATAGGGTAGAAGGGGGTGGGTAACTAGGATGGAAATGTCTAGCTTCAAAGGAACTGAGCAAGAAAGGAGGTATTAACAAAGCTGAAAGTGTGTTGAGGCTCATAAGAGAGAAGAACAGTAGCATAAGTCTTTCAGAAGGTAAAGTTCAACAGCTGGCTTGGAAAACAGCCGTGATACTAATGGCCAATTTTATAAAATCAGATTTAGCAAGCCCTAGCAAAGATCTTCTCCAAATGATACAGACATAATATTGAAATTTGTAATAAAAAGGGAAAAATAAATAAAACCAAAATTAAGTTCACATTGTTGAAAGGCAGGGTGAATATAGATCTAGTGGATCAAGTCATGACTGGATCTTTCGAAGGTATACTTCCGAAGAGAATTCTCAGGGAAAAGTACTTTTTAAAGCTGTACATTTTGTGAATTATACCTACAGGAAAGAAAAAAATAAAATTAATTAGTTTGACTGCAAATAAATGTGAAGGTGAAATGCAGTTTGGGGCACTGTATGGGAAGATAATTTCTCAGAGCAGGAAGTGCAGGGTTTTTCTCATTAGTTGCTCTTTCCAGTTCTTGTCTTGCTTCTTTTCAAGTCTGTGGGAAACAAATAAAAAACACTGGGAGTACATCTTTGAACTTTGTTTGTAAACAGTAATATTACTGAAGCCAAGGCAACAGTCCACAGTGCAGAGCTGGGCTTCAATTTCATAGAAGAGGTACAGTTTGCATTAATAGTTTCATTTGTCATTGCAAATAAAAAAAGAGCTTCCAGAGAAGTTCCAGAGAAAGTGAAAAAGGGAAAGATTTTTTATTATTGGGAAGAAGAGCTAGATAGATGCATATATTTGAAGTCAAAAGTTCCAGAAAACTTGAAGCGGAGGAAAGGAAAGTTGTTATTTATCAATTATCAGAAAAACACCAAAAAAAATGAAAGTGGATTTAACGTCTGCTCAAAAAGCAAGTAACTTTAGTTACAATAGTAATTCCCATGGCGTTGTATCATTAATTACTAGTTACCAGTTTCTGATGGTTCTTTTGATTTATAAGCTGAATAATTGCAGTGTCTCGCAGGATTTGAAGACAAGTCTTTAAACAGTATGTAAGCAGAAGAAACCTATTGTTATCAGCAGGATAGACATTGAATCATTTTTTTGATAAATTTTAGAAAACTAAGATCTCTGATACCTGTCAAACCAAAAACATCAACTGGTGAATAAGCCATAGAATTCTGCCTAAAGGGGGGAAACCCCTGAGCTGCCTAATTTAAATTGTCCTTAGAAATGCTCAACGTGTCTTTTATTTGTCATATTAGATGAAATAAGCACCTGTCTTAAGCTGTAAATTAGAAAGCTGGAACATAGGGCACTGTTGAACAATGGACTTTCAAGATGCAGCCCTGTAATATGGGCTCTCAGAAGGAATCACAACAACAGCAAAGTATGAGGAATTTCTCCTATTTAGTTGATTTGAACCAAGAAAATCATTCAAGGCAGAAGGCTAACAGACTTTCTGAGCGAAAAAGATACTATACCATATAGTATATAAGAGTTCTGAGTAGCTGATTAGATCTGCTGAACCTTACAAGAGGTTCGGTCCAAGCCTGAAGTAGTTTGTTTGAGTTTAGTCATATCAAACAGTGCATACTAGGTTTGTATGATGTAATTTGCAGGGTGACAAGCCTGTAGTTGATTTGAGCAGCAAGTGAGGGTATGATTGACATAATTAACTAAACAAAGCATAATTATTGTGAAGACTACTGACATTGTGTAATTTAAGGCTCCTTAAATAAAATGGTATAGTACTGTTTATGAGGAACACATAATACATTTTTCATAGTTGTTTTGGTTAAAGTTTGTCTTTATCTTGATTTCTGTGTTTCTTTCTGCCCCTATTTTATCACTTGGGGCCACTAAGTTTGCTTTGATCAAGCTGAGCAGGCAAGGTACTCTTCAATTTTATTCCCTTGCACCTGTCTGCGCTTTATCTGGAGCATTGCTTTAATGAAAACTGAGTAACAGCAGCTAACAAAAAGACTGAGGTGAGATTTCCCCTGGGCTGACTTGCAGCTGCTATCTAGCCCAAAGATGACATGTTCAAGTTACTTCTAAATATCAAAGAGCAGATAGTTCTTCCCGAGTTTCCAAAGGCCTCATCTGTCTATTGAGCAGAGTAGCATTATTTAAATCATGCATTTGATCATATTGTGCCACTTAGATATGCTGCTAGGTCAGGCTTTCAGCACCTTTACATCTCTCAGCAGCCTCTGAGAGTTTAGATTTTGCCTTTATGTATTACAGTTACCGTGTTCTACCCAAAACCAAGAATTTCAGGTAAAGATATACTTTATTAAAAACAAATGTAATTTTTTTAAAAAAGCATTGCTCTGAAATGGGAATTGAAATTCATTGAAATTCCTTGCTAGAAGATTTTCCTGCCCTATTAATTTTTGCCAAAATTTTTCATTTATTTATTTGTTTAGTGTAAAGTAAACATTGGCATTCTACAGTAAGCTAAATCAGCTCGTACCATATCTCAAAATGAAGTGTCTCACCCTCTGGATGTGTCCCTGCCCATAGCAGGGGGTTAGAACTAGATGATCCTTAAGGTCCCTTCCAGACCGAATCATTCTGTGATGCTGTTGAGTGGCTTCTCGTCTTTCAGGTACCCAAGGTAGTTGGAATTAGAAGCCTCGCTGTCACATGGCTTCAACAACTGGCATTTATCATAGACTTAATATTACTAGAATATTGTAGTCATTGTACAAGAGGGATGAGTAATCTAAAACTCACAGCCTTTTAGACTGGTGTCTCCAGGAGCCTGCTAAGGCTTTTTGGTTAGTCATGATCTCAACAAAAAATTTTGTTATAGGCCGTTGTGTATGTGTCCACCCATGTTTAATGCAACTTAAGGGTACAAACACATGCACCAAGAGCGCTGTAGATTATTCATTATCTGGGTAATAAAAGAGAAGGATAGTTAGTTGTTACAGGCTGGGAAAATGTCCCCACCCCCACAAATGGCCATTACTTCCCAAATGACCTAGTAACTTTTTCCTTCATGCTACTTTCCATGCTCAGCCCCATTTGGCCCATGCCTTTTGACAGGGGAAGGGGTTTCAGAGGGTAGCAGGGAAATCCTCACTGGGGCTGATGCATGGGCTCAGAGGACGTCCTGGCATCTGTGGTGCTGGGCTCCATCCTGTTGTGTGCCATGCCTCAGCCTGATGCAGGAATGAAATCAGACTCAGAGATTTGCTGAGGGTTATTTAGTCTTCATGGCAATGGACCCCACTACACCTATGATAAGAGCTGCTCCTTGATACCTGATTAAACATTTCAGTACAAACATTTCCTAACAATAAAATCTGCTAATATTTTATGTACCTTTTATAAATTAATCTGAAAATAACATTATTTTCTGTAAATCATCTGTATGAGAACAAATCATGTATTAACTCAGTCTGCAAGTCCATTTCATGTATATGCATGTTGAGAGTCAGTGAGCGAGTAGGAAGCTCAAATGCAACTGAATCCTGTAAAAATGCAAAAAAATCCTGTAAAAAATGCAAAATCCTGTAAAAAACTGAAGATTAAATCAGTTCCCACTTTATCCCTTAATTAAAAAACATGTTTAAAATTCTTATTTCCCTGACTGGAATACTTTGCATAAAAAAATAAGAGTAGAAGACAGTGATCTCACTCATACACAGATGTTTGGTTTTAATTTTTCTTTTAAACTTATTTTTTCAGCTACACCGTGTTTGTTACAGAAAGTAATTCCTTCTCAAAGTGAACCTTCTACTGTAAACCATACATAAGGTGCCTGGACCCAACTTTTAGGAGTTTCTGTAAAGTCTAAACAGTAGGTGGCACTGCTGTTTGGCTGGTCTTTACAGTTCAGTATTGCCAACAATATTGAGTGGCATTTGACTTTTCCAGTTCCCGCTTCTATAGTACTCTTGATCTGGCCAGGAGTCAAGCAGAAGTCTGACTCGCAAATCTTTTCTTAATAAAAATAACAAAAGGATAAGTTCAATGTTGCCAAGAGTTTAATTTGGTGAAAAAGAAATAAAAAAATGAATTCCCCCCCCCCCCCCAAGAAATTAAGATCTGCAAATATAAAGCAGATCTTTGTTAATGTTGCCAATTGTCTCTAAGAATTTCTTCATAATCTTATGACCTGTTGAAAAAAAACATAGGAGTGTTTAATAAAATTAGGAGCAGTCACAACAGGGGTGGTAGTTTTGCTTTTTTGTTCTTTTTCTATTCTGTTTCTGCTTGATTTTATTATAGCCAAAAGCCTAAGTGACAATGAAGATTTTTGTCAGGTTCTTGGTACTTTAATCTCCGCCAAGTAAAGGGAGTGTGGGGGTGGTGTTTGCATCACAGATATATGCATGTTGTTTGATATTAAGAGTTATCTTTCATAAATGTCCATATAGTTCATAAAAGCGATTTTTTGCTTATAAGTTTTCATATAGCTGACAGTTTTATGTTTTCCTTCTCGGTTTTTGACATCTTGGGCGGGACTCATCAAAAGAATGCAAGCATGGGCTACAGTCTAGACATGGGTATTTGAGCTAGTCATTCTAAACTGCTTCACTGGTCAGTGAAGAGAAATAGACATTTTTAGAAAGGAACTCATTTCAACCCAGAGTAGACTTTTAAAATATATAAGATGAATCAATCTCTAAAACTGCTTATTTTTCTTTATGGACATTGAGGAAGGTCTAAGAAAACTTCCTCAGAGGGGTATGGTTGAAGTTTGGCAGAATGAACCTCTGTCCTGGCAGTGGTGTAGGCTCACTTGGCTGCCAAATGCTGACTCTGACACTGCTTGAAATTCCGAAGTGAGATGTATTAATGTCTGGAAGCCAGAAAGCAAAACCTGAAGTCATCCATTAAATAGGAAATTCAGTCAGAACAAAAGGGCACTATAAAAGCAGAATGGCACATTGCTGTTAAATCATTCCATCTGCCCACAACTTGTCTCATTTCATTTCCTAACATATCATTTAAAGTGTCTACTTTTGCACTCCATCTTTCCCTTTTGTCACAGCCTGTGTGAATGACTCTGTTCATGTTTACAGCTGCCATGTCCATGAACAGGCTGCCCAGAGAAGTTGTGGATGTCCCATCCCTAACACTGTTCAAGGCAAGGGTGGACAGGGCTTTAAGCAACCTGGTCTACTGGAAGGTGTCCGTGTGCGTGGCAGGGTGTGGCAGTGTGATTCCCTCCCTGACTCAACCTAACTTTTATCTCTTGTAACTGTCCAAGTGATAACCACCAGTGGCGGTAATGGATGTGTCTGGTCATGATGGTTGCATACTCAAAGTGGATTCAGCGGAGACAGATAACAATGCAATAGCCAAGGGCTAATATGAGCAATTTGCAACCCCTAATCATAATGCCAGTCAGGGTTCAACTCGAGCCAAGTTTAAAAAAACCCTAACTTCTTTAGCTGATATGCAAACATGACCATGAGTCCATTATCTCACTCCTGCATGGAAGTGGGCTGTGCACCAGGATCTCCCCTTGAGCAGGAACACCTCTCAGTGTTACTCCTCAAGGTCAAGAGATTCCTTTCCACAACCGATTCATAATAAGTGATAAATAGCATGCTAGACTTGGAAATATTAGGTAAGTAATGTAAAGGATTGATTGTGCACATGACCCTTTAGACAGAAACTGTTAGCCAAGTCTGGATCCACCTGTACCTAGACTCCTGTCTGAGAAGGAGTTTAGAAATCAGTGGGGTCCTTTATGAACCTCATGACTGAATGGGAAGGTCTCCTTCACAGTTTTGTGTGACCCTGACTTATATGCAGTAAATACCTTGCCACTCAATCTTGGTAAATCACTGGTTTCTATCAATAAATATGTTGCTAATTCTCTCTTACCAGTGAAGTGTGTCATTTTATCTATGACACAGAGGGTTGGACTGGATGATATTTAAAGGTCCTTTTCAACCCTAACCATTCTATGATTCTATGATTCTATGATTTTGAAAATACTGTAACTTGTAACAATATTTGTCCCCTGGTAATTAAGCAAATTAGAACTTAGTTTATTTTTTGTAATATACTTTCTATAATTTTATTAGTCTTTGTTAAGCTTTTACACTTAGGAACAGTATAGAAAATTTATCTAAGTAAACTGATGGTGTGAATATGAAGTAGATTAGTTAGGCCCCATTAATTCTTTGTAGGTACTGATTCAGAATTAAAAAGGTCATAACTGAGCTTCCAGACATAAAAAATGTTTGGATGTTAAAACAGAAAAACATTCCAAAGCATTTCCATCTTTGTTTTCTCTTTCTGTACATCGGTAAAAAGAATAGATAAAACTTTGATTCCTGTTCTTAGATGCGAATTTGATCTTCATAAAAATACCAAAGAGTAATTGAGATAAAAGCCAGACTCCTTGAGTAAGGACATAAATGATCACTTCAGCTTTTTTGGGCCACTTTTGATCTCTGTGTGGCCTATTATCCCCCTCCTTATGAAAACACAGCTTTCTCCTTCCATACAGGCAGTATGTAATGATTCAACACAGCCTCAGTGCAAAATGGTATTTATGAGCAAAATGACTTGTCCTCCCTTTCACCAGGTAACACACCTCAAGAGCACGTGATCTCTTGTACTATCTACAGATACTGTTAACTGTGTCATCACTAACATTTAACTTAAACGTCTCCTTTTCTGACTGAGACACTATGAGACTGTGAGAAGAAAGTTATTTGTTGATTTGCTATGACAAGGCATTCTTTTTTCTAAAAATAGCTAGTTCACAAGGAATTATGGGAAGTTCAGGCAAAGCAATAGAAAATTTGCTGAGCATGGCAATAGAAAAGACAAAATTACCTGAGTTCTAATTTGTATTTTGATCTGTTATGGCACGTATGATATTAAGTAACTTCAAAAAATATCAGATCTGTCTGTTTTGAGTACTGCTTTAGCTCCACAGCTCCTTCAGATCTACAGTTTCACTTTATATTTTATTCCAGTTAACTTTACTAGCTACAATCATCTCCATCACTGTAAAATGAGCAAAATGCATTATTGTATTGGTATTTGCAGGATCATTAAAAGATAACATTAAACAGCATTTGTATTAGACAAACAGTTGCTAATTGAAGCTTTTTCCACATTGATGTCATACATAAAGTTCAGATTTAACTTGTACTCAATGATAGTGAATGAAGCAATGCACGTGATGCATTTGCAGGATCTTTTTTAATTTTTTTAATTTTACCAGTGATGATATAAATTTATAGTAAGTATCTCCTTAAATGACTCGGAGATCTTGCAATAGACACATGTACATAAGTAAAACATATTAATACACCAAACAGTTTGAAAAGGAGGCAAAAGTATATGTAACATTTCAGTCCTTCAAAGGAACCTGCCCGAAGTTCATGTGCTGAGTGTTTTGTGCATGTCTTCCGCTTTTCCAACTGTGACTACAAAATAAAAGCCATTGCCAGACTCAAAGGAATTTAGCAAAGAACTGAAGCCAGAAAGAAAAAAAAATATCTGCAGTTTAGTAATGCTTACTTTAAAACTACCTGATGTCTCAAAAAATGGAAAATTGAGTCTGCCACTTTCTGGAATATCTTTACTAACCATGACTGCTATAGTAATATTTTCTGACAGATTTGCTGAATCTTCTTGAGAGGTAAAAGTGGACAAAGTGTGATTAATTTGATAACATTATCTACCAGGTGCTCAATATTTTAACCTGATGAAGCAGGGGGTTTAATGAAATATTATCCAGTTATACTGTTTTCTGCCCAACTTAAGGAAGAAGTTGAAAGCTTGCAGCTGGGGAATATAGGGAAGATGAAGTTATAACAGTCTAAATAAGATGTATATGAAAAGAATAAAAGGACTCTCTACTTCTATCAATTAACTTATGTTGTCAGTGGTAATGTTTTAGAAATAGTTCTAAGATGTGAAGAATTCCTGGTGAGTCATATTATTTCCCATCTCCCTAACAATTTTTTTTTCATTTATATGTGAATTTAGTTCAGTAGGCATTTAAATAGCTTAGCTCCAACAAAAACTGTGGAAGTATACCTATTCTGAATTAGCTAAGTGCTGGAAAGCTCATCTGAGTTGAAATCTGTTCCAGATGGGGCAGAGCTGGGTTTAGAATGAAGTCCATAATCTAAGCATGAAGCTACTTGTGGGGAGGATGTGTTCTTCTACCATAAATGCCATCCTGAGAATTTTTTCTAAGTAAATCTTCATCTGAATGGTGAATGGTAAATTGTGAAAACAGTTGGATGAAAAATTCCAGTGTGCCTGCGTGGCAGTCCTGACTATATTCTGTTGTTGTGTATCCTCATGAACCTTTGCTTGAGCTTTGTAGATACTGCATAAGCAATCTCATCATATTTCCCACCTTACTGCTGAGAAGAGGTCAAGTCTCTCTGCATCCAGGTGATGTGTGGCAGCAAGCAGCAGGAGCTGCTGTCAAATGATGATGCTGTGAGTCCACATCTTGGGAGTCCTAGGCAGGAGCAAAGAGGTCTGCCTATGAGCAAGGATTTCTTACTTTTCAGCCCACACCCTTCTCATACTGGGGCAGAGCTTGTCATCTCTGGGAAGTATTGTGGAGAGCAGAGCACTTTGAGAACAACAAAATAATTTCAGAATGCAGGAATTCTTACAGGTGAAATTCAGACTAAAAATATTTATTTCCTTATAAGCACACTTAAAATTCCACAGTAAGTTCAGTATAATTTGCTATTTTATGACAGCCTTTAAGTGCTGTAGATAGACCATGGTAGCTTTTGACATCAATGTGTTCTAAGGGCATGGTATCTGAACATGGCTTAAAATTGGGATATTTTGCTCTGAGAAACTGACAGACACCCTTTTTAATATGTTTTCATATTTGATAGTAGTCTAATTTCAAAGCAATTACATTTGTTACATTTTTGTTGCAAAAAACAGGTCTAATTTCAGAAATTGCTCTATAATAACCTTCCAGAATTGAATGTAATTTCAGAAGTGGTATTTTAGGGTATTTTCTATTGGTTTTGTTCATGAAAAAAATATCTCCCTAAATATTCAGTAAATTAATTAGTAAAATTGTCATTTAAATTTTTTTTTTTTTGTAATATACACATTAATGAATAGCTTTTCCCAATAGTTTGTTGAACTCAAGTAATAATACCAAATAGAATGTGCAAATACTTTTTGGAATCATCACTAGAGATGGGTGACGATTTCTTTATGAATAATTTCAGTGTGAAGTATTGAAGCAGATTTAACTATTGAGATAGTTGAATAAGCATTAAACTAACTCTTTAAGCAGAAATATTTCAAGCTTTTTCTTTGTCCTTACTGCTGGACAAAGCATTTCTCCTTGCTGGGAGTGTTAGTGACAAACCCCCCAAAAAATTCTCTTTTGCCATCATTGTATTGTGAATGAATAACTCCTGCTAGTTTTAAAATACATGACAATCTTCATTATCATAATCCTCATGAGAAATGACATTTACAGGTAAAGATGCTTACAGAATACACAGAAGTAAACTAATAAATAATGTATATAATATATATAATAAATATATATTATATATATAATATAAACTAATGTATTTTTACATTTTTTTAAAAGAGACATAAAAGCAGCTTTAGTTTACATGCCTCCATCAGGTACAGAATAATGAACACATAGCTCCTGCCTTTGGAAGATGGACTCTCTCCTCCTGTCTGCCTGCATGGGAATCATAGAACCTGAGGAAGTAGGGAGTTGCATTTTTATTTCCTCTTGATCAGTCATGGCAACTGGCAGGGAAAAGTACATATTAAGATGTTTTAATAGGTACACAGCTTTCAAAGAGATATGGAAGGCTTATTGAAGCATTTCATTTCTGTAAGCAATATAAAATTCAGCTTATTTGATAATAAAATTGTAGCTTTAGACTTATACTGTGTACAGTGATCTTTCTTTGCACTTTCTTTGAATGTGCAAACTTCAAGAAAACCCTCAGCTACATTTAATTGGCCTTAGTGCTTTCAGAAACGATAACTAACCTTAGAGATTTTGAGGGC